CCCGCGGTGGCAAAGCGCTGCTGTGCCTCCCATGCCCATGCCAGGCACCGGCAGCCACGTCCTCCTGTCAGCGGCCAAAGTCCACGCCTGAGCAAGCTCTGCAGAACCCGGGGCAGTCTCGGTGGGGGGCTGGTCCCCACGGGGGCTGTGCTGGGACCTGCTGGGGAATGGCTCAGCAAGGTCCTACAGCTCCTGCCCGGGCTCTGGGCCGATGGTACAGCATTTCCACGGGAGCTGCCTTCCTCCTGGAGCCCTCCTGGTCTCGCCTGGGACTCGGGATGAAGGCAGCTCAGCTGCCTGGGCAGAGCAAGGACGCGGCCACTTGGCCGCGGGAGCTGGAGGCCGCCCAGGATGGGTCTCAAGAACCTCCTGGTCCTGTGGCCATGGGACAAGGAGGCTCCAGGGAAGGGTGTAGTGGGGCTGAGACGGGTCTGGAGAAGCTGGGCTTTTGGCAGCAGGACTTGAAGTGGCTCTGAGGAACCAGATCCCCATGTAGAGCCTGAAGGCAAGGAGGGGGAGGAGGAATGGGGCAAGTGTGGCCGGCTGCCATGAATTTCGCAGCTTGGAGGCATAGCGCACCTACCCAGCTTCACAAGAACCAGGTTTGGGTGTTTGGATGCCAGATCTCTCAGCTCCTACAAAAAGAGATGTAGAAACAATCAGCGCGAGGCAGAGGCGATGCCAAGCGTCGCCCTTGGGGCCACCAGCACCAGGGCACCCTCCACCCTGAGGGAAACATCTTCCAGGTGTTACTGAGGGCTTGTGAATGGCGGGGACTGGGGACCTGCCCAGGTTCTTGGGCTTCTTCTAGGCTCCGCAGAGCAACGTGCGTGTGCTCAGAGTACGGCACGGCCAAAACTGCAAGATACCATGACCGCCCTCCCAAAGGATTTACGTGCACAAGCCAACCAGAGCCACAGCGAAGGACGAGAGCCAACTACTAAGGACCACCTCACCCGGGGAAAGGATGCAAACTGGCCGGGGATACGACCAGAAGCATCTCCCAGCATCTCCCAGCGGCTGCTGGAAGCGAGACGGAGGAGGAACGGCTGTGAGGGCCAACATCAGATTTGGCATTTGGGGAAGTCACATCTGGATCCCAATAGCCTAATCCCAGGATCCGCCCTGCGCTGGACACTGTGTCTCACCCACTCAAGTGATCCTGCCCGCTTTGTACGTTTTTACTGATTATTTTCACCAAACGCAGGAGGATTCGGAAGCCAAAATGGATAAAAGCTAAAACCTTCAACTTTACAGTTCCGAGCAGCTCTTTGCTCTGAGCTTTCTTCACCTATAGCAGGTCTTAGAAGACAGAAACCAAAACACCACATTCAGCCTGTCCAAAACTGTTACTTTTAGAACGAAAAACCTCTTACAAACAAGCCCACAGAGAACGCTACACAGGGTGAAACACAAATTGGTGGCTCCTTGTGAAGGGACATGTCCCCTGGGACTCATCCACTCCAACGTGGAGTGGGAGAGCTGCTGGCGCTGGCTGTGGTCTACCTTCAGTCACCTCTGGGCGTCCCCACCAGGCTCCACGTTCCCACATTCCCCCTGGGCACAGGGAATGATGGAAAAATCCATCTAAATGGTTTGTGACGGCCCACAGACATTTCTCCTGCCCTGTTTTGCCCAGCTGATGGTGCTCTACAGCCTCGCACCATCCCAGCGTCGAGTCCAGCCTCACCCACCCCAACACCTGATCCAGGCACAAAAAGGAGGAGCGATGGCGCTCCCGCGGTGGCACCAGCCTGACGGAGAGTCACTCTGTCCACAGCCTCCTGTGGTGGTGGACCTCAGCAGCACCACCGTGAAGATGCCGCCCTCGCCCAACCACAAGGCTCGGAGAAGCACCCCATGGTTGAGCGTGATGCGCACGGACCATCTTGGGGTGGACGCTGGCTCCCGTCCAGCCCCGCGAAAAGCCCTCCGGTCTCATCGTTGCCCAAGGCCAGCAAGTTGGGGGTCCTGCACCTGGGTTGGGGCAAGCCCCCGTCTCAGTACAGGCTGGGGGGGTGAAGGGATGGA